TACACACACTGGCCACATTGTCATCGGCATTGTCCTGCCCCCGAGGGAACCCAGGGCCCCATTACACAGCTTAAGGTCTGACAATCGTTCTGAGGATTGCATTGCTATGACATGGAGGTCTGTGCCACCCTCCAATGATATTTCTCCCCAGAGCATCACTGACCCAGCGCTGTGTGATGTTATAGACAGCATAACATTCACCACAGCGTCTCCAGACTTCTTCAACCTGTGCAACCTCATCGGGCTGCAGGTATCGCCTCATGCTACCAGTACTGACAAGGAAACTAGCAGAACACAAAACTAGAGAAGAATCGGTCAGGGCAATTTTCCATTTTTACATTCCATTTTTGGGGGTTGTTTTGCTTTTCCCCTCCATTGCACCTGTTGTCACTTTCATTTGCACCGAAGCAGGTGCAATTGATTCACAATCGCTTGTGCTTCCTAACTGGACAGATTGATATCCCTGAAGTTTAACTGACTTGGTTGTATACTGTGACGATTAAGTGTTCCCTTAATTTATTAGTGCAATGTCTGTAGATGTCCTGTACACTTATGTTCAGTAAAACTCTAACGTGAGAGCTTTTTGAAATGTCACAGCATTTATTTATGATAAATATATATTAAAAAAATGTATAACAATAATGACAGCTCTGCTCTGTTTAGGTTTGCCAGTGAACTATCCCACTGAGCAAGCATTCACCATGTAACGACCAAGAAAAACATACACTTCAATGAAATGTAGCCATCATCTCTGTGCTTTTTCTATTAGAACATGTCAAACGCTATGCAGTCAAATATGCCTATAACATGTCCAAACATCTTGCAGCTACTTTTGAATATCATTCTGGAGAACACATTGCGGCAGATCTTAACTTTAAGTATGCCTCCTTTAAAGTTTATTCACTGATTCCAGTTCACATCACAGTTACAGTGATGTACAGTGTATGAAGGACTAACACTGCCTGAACTGGTGTACGTTTTATGACAAAGTTTAGCTGTAGCCAGCTGATGTTCATCTCTGCTGAATTTCATATACATGTGGAAACCAGCATGGTCAAGGGAAAAAATGAAAAAAGCCTTTTATTTTCAATTTAGATTATCAAACCAACAAAATGTATTGATGTATTCAATAATATCTATTCATCACATAACCATTTACTGCCCTTTGTCTCTTTTGGGGCACTGTTGTGTGAGTTAATTTGACCAATTTAAATAAAACAAGACAATATTAGCCTGGTTTGTCTTCTCAGTATTTCTCATTGAACATTTAAAGAGTGTTTATGAACTTATGGTGTTACTGTATGTTACGGTGGAAGACTGCATTCAGCACATGTAGATTAAAGTAAAGGTATTCAGAGAAAGAGAAAGGAGGACGTGAGACAAAGCTCTAGGCTTGTCTTTTGTGTCACTACGTCTCTATAGGTTTTATGGCCACAATACAGAGCAGTCCCCTCTGTCTCCAGCAAACATTTCCTGACAGATGTGTGTGTTACTGTGATTAACCTGTGGTAGTGACATGGGATACACAGGGATGTGACACATCTCACACTATGCCTGTTATTCCAGTCCACTTCTCTGCTGACAGAAGTGTGTGTCTTGGCTGCTCCTCCGCTCTTCAGCGGAAGCCAGTCTGAATTTGCTAGTGAGCTATGAGGTGAGACATGTCCTGGTCGGATTAACACCTGGTGGCTAACGCTAACGCTATGGTCAACTGAAAGAGGACAGGACATAGGAAGGCCGTACCTCGGTGTGGTCGACTCATTATTTTCTCTTGAATTCTGAGAGTAACGGGAGCCGGTGTCAAGTTGGCGTTTGACTGACTAAACAGTTCTCTGTCTGTTCCTGCACAGGCCTGTCTGATTCAGAGTCCAGTGAAGCTGAGGTCACTTGCATCACTGTGCAATCATCTTAGAGGGAATGTCAGCAGATATGAATGTGGTTACATTAAAACAAGACCTCGCCCACAACGGGAGGACCTTTTTTACTGTGTGGCATTAGAGCTTTTACATATTTTACATCAACCTCATTCATCATTTTGAACCTTCACAACAGAGAACAAGTGTTTATCTGTGACCCAGTTTTGAGTAAACAACAACCTCTTGCCTCATTTCCTTCCCAACAATTTCTCGTCATTGCATATTATTGGCTCCCAGTAGAAGTGACAGCTGTCTCCGGACCCCCCGACCTACCCACCAATGCCAGGGGACATGTATGGTGTCATGGAGGGAGACGTTAGTCTGGGATTAGCTCATTAAGACAGGCATATTTGATCCGAGATTATCTCTCCCATTTCCACGGGAACTTGATCATATCCTGGCCTCTTAAGAAACACACACACGCGCACACATAAACACAAACGGGTCCTAAAGCCCCAGAGAGCCGGGCCCAACAGAGATGTGAAGTGTAGATGTGCAGCAACAGCTAAACGTCGGGTCAGGTTTCTGGGGGCTCGTGCTAAATTTAACCCTGTGATCCTACAGCAGGCAGAGGGGTTTAAATGCCAGCCTACAGTTGCTCCACACCAGTTGTTCTCCAAACGTCTTCCACTCATCACAAACTAAAAGCAAGGGGGCGAGGACAGGCGCGCACACACATACATACACTCCAGACACGCGCTCAAGCTCACAGAACCGAAGACCATATCACAGAAGAGAGGTTCCAGGGGAAGCAGGGATCTTCGTCCCCTCAAATCCAGACCACAGTGCCATCCAGTATGGAGCTTTTCGAGACCAACCCTTATTTCTTTCCTGACCAGCGCTTCTACGAAGGAGGGGACAACTATTTCCCCTCTCGCTTGCCCGGGGGGTACGACCAAGCCGGCTACCAGGACAGAAACTCCATGATGGGTTTGTGCACGAGTCTGTCTGGGGGTGTTGGAGTTGGGGTCACAGGAACAGAGGACAAAGCCTCTCCATCCAGCCTGTCACCTCACTCCGAGCCCCACTGCCCAGGCCAGTGCCTCCCTTGGGCCTGTAAGCTTTGCAAAAGAAAGACAGTGACCATGGACCGTCGGAGAGCGGCCACGATGAGGGAGAAGAGGCGTCTGAAGAAGGTGAATGAGGCCTTCGATGCTCTGAAGAGGAGCACCCTGATGAACCCCAACCAGAGGCTGCCCAAGGTGGAGATCTTGCGGAGCGCCATCCAGTATATCGAAAGGCTGCAGGCCCTGGTGTCTTCCCTAAACCAGCAAGACACTGAGACAGGACAGCAGGGACTGCACTACCGACCCAGCACGGCTCAGGCCAGAGTGAGTAGGACAGAGGAGGGATGAGGAGAAGGTCACATGTTAAACACTGAGAAGGGAGCAAAAAGACTAACAGAAAGAGGAAGGAAAGGTGATGCTGTGACCAAAAACAAATGTGGCAGAGACAGAGAAACACTAGCTATTATTGGAAAAAATAATGACTTTGTTGAACTAGTCTGCTCTAACACTGGCTTTGGAAGTGATCGTTGGTAGATAGTTTTGAGATGTCAGTTGGGGAGATGAATTGATGGATCTATATTTTTGTATTTTGCATCATTTTCAGAGGTGTTTTAAGTAATGATCCAGTTTCAGCCCAGTAATGTTTGTCATGGTTATAAGATGATGAGACAGGGGCCAAAACCTAATATGCAGTAACAACTTTCGCTGTCAAATGGTCATGACGTTACAAGATCTCTTATATTATGTCCATCTGTGTTGTCTACTTAGAAAGTAGGGTAATTTCTCTTACTGAGATAATCTGAGTTTGTCTCTGAGGAGGTCACATGCATTTTGTAGTAGTGGTGGCGGTGTGTGTGTGTGGGGAGGGTGCCGTGTCATAACACAGTGACTGACAGCAACTTCTGTGTGCATCTCCATGGCAACAGGTGTCGTCGTCAAGCGAGCCCAGTTCAGGCAGCACCTGCTGCAGTAGCCCGGAGTGGAGCAGCACTCCAGAGCAGTGCACGCAGAGCTACAGCAGCGAGGGTGAGTACAGTTCACACACACACACACACACGCACACACACACACACACACACACAGACACTCATTAAGACACCATGGGCTGTGCCCTCACTCTGATACTGACTGTGTGACTGTGTCTCTCTGCAGATCTCCTGAGTGCTGCTGACTCTCCAGAGCAGGGGAACATGCGTGCGCTGACCTCCATCGTGGACAGCATCTCTGCAGTGGATGCAGCCGTGGCCTTTCCTGTGGACATTCCCAAATAGACCCTGCACACGTTGGACCCATAAATGCACAGAGATCCACAAACTAAAAATTAGCAATCGACATAAATTAAAACTAATTTTAAAGTCCAATTAAAGTAATTTATTAGCTGCACTGTTTTGTCCTGTGCAACTTTTTTTCATTTGTAATATATTAGGATTGCAACTGTGCAGATCTGTAGGTGTGCCAGCCAAACTGAATCCTGTTCACAGCGAGGCCTTATTACCATTATTCCCTGCCTTATTGTGTGGTCCAGACTCACAGGAGTTTTTCTAACTAGAGATTCAAACACTTTGCTGCATGAACAACACCTAGTAACTAGCGTGGATCTCTGACATGTCTCCTGTCTGATAGAGCTCAAGAGGAATAAGAAAATTATCTTCATCCTCACTTAATTTAAGTTTTTCCTCTTTTCGAAACCTTTCCCAGATCTTTCATTCTTTTCGTGTGTGTGTTTATGCTTAGAACAACATGAGTTTTATTTGTGGGGCCAATATGTACCATGGCAGTTTTGACCAAGATCTGCTTAATTTAAACTGAATGCTAATGATGTAAATACGTTCCCTTTTTCTACAGAGTGGTTTTGCCATTTTATTTTCTATTTTTTGCTAACTTATTTTTGACTTTTATAACTAAGATTGTTGTGTATTTGTAGATTTTCCAAAAAGTGATATTTCCTATCCAATTCTTGCAATAAAGACCATTTTCAATACATTTGTCTGTTGTTGACTGATTTGATGACTTTAAAAAGAACACAACAAACACAGTGTATGTAAAAAAAAACAGCTTTAATTATGTCTATATAGTGTCATAAATACAGTACACTTTTTTTGAATAGCCAAATAATAAAATCTTGATTTGTCAGCATTGTTTCACACCTGGAATAAAGACACAGTACTCATAGCTGCCACATAGCACATAACACCTTTTAGACACCTTGGAAAAACTGTTAAAAAAAAGAAAAAGATTGTACACCCATCCAGCACTTCACTGGTTCCATATGCTGTGTTCTCATTGGATGAGGAGTTGGTCAGCCAAGAGTCAAAACTGCTCACTGTCACGTCTCTATGGCAACTGAACGGGAGGCGACGGGACGGGATCAGAACGAGTCCGTCACGTTGAGCAGTATTATGTGGATATCATTGGCTGATGTTGAGCAGCAGTTTACAGTTTGATTTGAGAGAAGAGTTAAGGAATCAACAGAGAGGAGCTACAGTGTTCACACTACCCATTCACAGAAAATAGTCATGGTCACATGGCTGGGGTCGGTCCATCACACGTACGACCTTTCTGCAAGTCTCGAGCAGAGAGACTCATTCAGACACACACACACAGGCGCACACAGGCACACACACACACACACACACCTTCATATTAAAGGATTTTCTCTATTCTAGGCTACATAGTGTCATACAGAAGGCGAGAGAGGCGGAGAGAGGGGGGCTAACAGCTACATGGTGTCAAAAGAAGGAGAGGAGTAAAGAGAAAAGAACTGGAGAGGAAGAAGCAAAGAGTGTCTGAATTTGGACCCATGAACCTGTGAAGAGTCCTTGTAGAAACACACCCCATCTTTTGTAAGTCCCTCCCACTAATGATTCACACACTTACAGCATACAGCAAAAGACGCACAAAGGTCCGACACAGAGAGAAAGAGAAAGAGAAAGAGAGAGAACAGTCACTATCGAATACAGGGCATTGGGTTTCATACAGCAATATTATATTATTTTCCATATATATTTCCAATATAACATTTTGATAAAAAACATAATTCATCCATTTTATGTACAGAGACGATAAATGAGTAATACCTTGCATAACCGGTAGAGGGGCAATGTGCAGTGGGATCTTCCATTTATACAAGTATTCATCATTCCCAAGTCCAAATCAACAGCTGCTCAACATCGCTTTAAATCTTTTTTTCTTTTTACACTAATCAACTAGTGAGTTTCCTAGGATGTGACACAGCAAAGTTGTTTTGAACTTGGCCATGTTGAGACTAATAGAACCAGCACGAGAACCCACAGCTGAGACCAGGGGGAGCAGGAGCACAACACCACAACAACAAGGCTACTGGGAGCACTGGGGTAAACTGGGAGAGACTGGGACGAGTCTCGTTTACAGCAGCGAGCGCAGCCAATGGGCACTCTCAAGAGTTCAAAGGTCAGAGTTGGCCTCTGTATTGCACGTGTCCGAAGGATAGGTGAGATGTGAACGGTGGGAGGTAAGGGCTGGGCAGTGGCACCCAGGGCTTCCTCTCCAGATTTGGCATATCACTCTCAAAAGGCCGCAAGCATGTGTCCATATAGGTAATGAGAATGCACTGGAGGAGAAGAAGTGGGACAGAGAGGAAAGTGAGACAGAAGGAAGAAAGAAGCTTTGAGTTTGCTACTTGGTCTTAATTTGGCATGTACAATACAAACAGATTTTAAAATTAGGTTTATTTTCTAAACTGTAATTGTGAAAAGCTAGTAAATGGCAAATAATTTAAATAATCCCCAAAACAAAAATATATTGTTCTTTGCAAATTGAAAGATGCTGAAAAATGTATATTATATTATTATATTAAATCAACTGCACATGCCAACCTATAGTGGAAATGATGATTTAGAAACATGGGCTGAGCAATAACAGTGTTATTGTGTAATGACTTTCATTGTTGTTTTTCAAAATTATTTTGTGTAAATTAATCCATTACTTATTTTCTAGTTTTCAAATTGTGAACAATTTACATTTTAAATACCAAAATAAACAATGGAGAGCAAGTGTTGGCTACACATACAATCATAGGTATAAAATCACTTTCTTATTAGTTTGGTTTCATCATAGGATCTAATGAGGATAAGAAAAATATACATTATTGCACAAATTAACCTTTAAAGCTCCATTATATTAGCTCCTTGTGATGTTGTTACGGGATTAGCAAACACTTCATGTTAGCAAGTCATATTAACATTTATTTGTCAAATCTATTTAGATGAAGGACAATATTTACTCAGAGGTCCCACATACATGTGCTCGACCAATAGTCAGTCTAAAACTGTCAATCATGATGTTTCACTAAATCTTTTACATACATCAGAGTGATAAGAACTATGGACTTTTTTGTTCGAACCATGTCCTGTCCACTAACATGGAGAAGACAGGATTCATGACCTACAGCAGCAAGCCTCCAGGTGGCAATTGAAACACATCAGCTTCACTTTTGGGGCAAAGTCATGTCGTCCATCTTTATAAACTGTTTGTCCTTGAGCAACACTTTTCTGACTGATTACTAAAATCATATTGTTTACTTAAATGTTGGTGTATTAGTACATTAGCCATATTCCTTCCACAGGCCACACAGATGGCAAATGCTGGTTAAAAGCACACTAACCTGGAAGTTCAGCAGTGTTAGGTTGTGTTTCATTAGCTTACCTGGTAGCATTAGTGCTCCTGTTAGTAAGCAGAGAGTAGTTAGCATGAGTAGGTCCGCACAGCCGAAGGATCAAGTCTCGGTGGCGCCGGGGGAGGAGCTTGAGAAGATATGGCACAGAGGGGCATGAGCACAAAAGGACAGAGAGGACACAGCATGCAGTTAGAAAGTCAGGACAAGCACAAAGAATGGCAAGCACACACACACACACACACACACACAAAATATATGAGGTAGAATCGTTTGGTTAGTACTGTAACACACCTTCAGGCTGCAGCTGTTTCCTGGGCACCAAATTCACAGAGGGTGGCATGGACATGGAGGGCATACGGAAGCCAGCAGGCAGTGTTTCCATGGAGCCTGCCATCATCCCTAGCCCCGCCCCTCCCTCACGTGCCCGAAACCTCTTGCGCCATGACGGAGAGCGTCGAAAAGACTTGTCGTCCCCACTCTACAGGGACAGGGAGAAAAACAAGGTCGGACATTTGGCCCTTTTTCAACAATATCGTATTGGATCAAAGCAGCAGCTTGAAAGGTAACCTCCTCTTGTCGACGGTCAGTTCCCAAAGCTAATAGGTTGTTGAACTCTCTGTCCAAAACCTGCCGTGCCTGAAAAACAGAGCAGACACAGACGCTGTGAGCTCACCAACCAGGGTCCAAAAAAACTAACACGAGCTGAGGCCATAATGTCATCGAAAGCTTTTGAAATACCTGAGGAATTAAAAATGGTTCCTCTACTTATTAGAAACCATCATGTTTGCAGTTGAACTGCCAAAAACAGGCATCTATGAATATGAAACTGGGCAAGTCATCTGTACCGATGCCTGTGATGCAGGGAACTGTGTGAGAACAACGTCGTACTAAATGTTGTCAGGTGGAGAAGGAAACGCTCACTGAACATAAACCACAGTGCCAACAAAAGTAAAGTATCATGATATAAAATGGAAGATATCTTATTTCTAGAAATATAGACGTTTTAAACAATATCCTATACAGATTTCATAAATCACTGAGTCTGCCAACGACATGGACCAAACTATCCTTCAAATCTGCTCACACAACACTTGAAATCTTTCCACTCTAACCACCTGTGTGTTCTGCATAGGGATCTGCAGGATGAGCGCTAGGCTGCTGTAGTCGAAGGTCTCGTCCAGAGAGATGAGTGCCCCGTGAATGCCACTCTCCAACAGGCTGCCACTGTACTCCCTCAGACCAATGGAATGGACCCAGTGGATCACCTGCTCATTGGTCCACACCAACACATCTAAACGTAAAGAGGGAGGGACTCAGATTTATGGTACAAGGTTATGTACAGTGACAGCAAATTTTATTAAAACAAATAGAAACAACTTGATTGAGAGAAAAGAGAAGTGGAAAGGGAGACAGAGAGAGAGTAAGCGAGAGGGAGAGAGAGAGAGAGAGAGAGAGGGATAAAGAGGTAATGTGCCTGCTAACATAGTGTCAACTCACTGGCACACTCCCTTTGTTCATTTAAAGCACAGCTGTCAACCAGCTTTCCAAGTTGGAACAGGCGGTGTGTGTGTGTGTGTGTGTGTGTGTGTGTGTGTGTGTGTGTGTGTGTGTGTAGGTGTGTGTGTAGGTGTGTGTGTGTGTGTAGGTGTGTGTGTAAACAGGGCAGGAGTCTGATTTGACTCGACAGCTGACTCAAGTTCATGTGCAGAACTCAAGGTCAAAAGGGCGAGAGGACTGGTTAGATCTAAGTGTGTGTGTGTGTGCAGACTACTCCTGGTATGCAGTGCTTTGGATCATAAGGGTGAAGGCCTGCTTCAGTTGGTTTTATGACAGTCCACGGTGCAGCTGTTTCAGTGCGTGTGCCAAATTAACAATATCAGACAAAACCACTAGGTGGTGCTCTGGCCTGACGAGACTTTGGATGTGTGAACTCATGTTCAGGGTATTTTAATATGTGTGCTTCCTGTTTTGTTTGCTTTTGGTCAATGTATGTGTGTTTCGGGGGTGTGAGTAAAGTGTACCTTTCATGTCGTGTTGGCTGTCCTCTCTCCGGCGCTCCAGGTCTTTCCTGTCATAATTGAGTCTCTTCAAGCACATAATCCCATACTGCAGACTAGCCCTGGTACAACACACACACACACACACACACACACACACACACACAAACCCACACATGTGCGCGCACAGAAAGGGATAAGCACATGTGCATCATTAGTCTCCTCATCTCCATTGCTAATATATCCAGTTAGCACATGAAAGCAGAAGCTGATCAAACAGCAGCTAAACTAATCACCACGGTTACAGACCTATGGAAGCTGTCCACCATCTTGAGGTGGCTCCTCAGGTCCTTCTTGGTCAGGTGGTCCAGCATGCGTGCGTCCACCAGACATTCCATGAAGTAGGAGCGGTACTGAGGCAGACCGAGGCTGGGCAGCCACTCATTCCCGATCCACTCATGATTCATGTCTCCATATGCCAGAGTCTCCATGGAGACAGGAAGATAATGTTACTGATTTTGGAATAGAATAAAAAGAGACTGCTCTATGTTTCAGGATTATATACACTATGTAGCCTCAACAGAAGTAGTTGTTTTCAGTGCCCAAGGTACTGAAAGTGACACCTGAATAACTCAACAGCAGAACATTTAATCAACAGCATCATATTTGGACGCACATTTCATTTTATTTTACATCTGAGTACAGTGCTGAAGTTTAAACTTCCTTTTAAATAAGTGTGTTAGTGAAAATACAGATGTTAGCAGATGTTAATGCCCCCACCTGTGCCCAGCTGCCCTCCTCATTGTCCTGAGTGGCAGCATGGTAGAGACAATATGCAAGGTTAGAGACAGGGGCTAACAAAATACACATATAGTATACATTTAACCCAATATAATAGATCACACACATGTACACAAATGCATACCAGAGGACATTACATTTACTAACATTGATTTCCTGGGGAGTGAAAATTCACTCATCATCTACTCACCACTTTGCCGATGGAGGAGTGGGCGAAGTGATTAAGTTCAACTTTTGGAATTTCAGGGGTAAACAGCTTTGCAGCCAAATCCAATACAATTCTTCAAACGTAAAAAAAACAACAGAAATGCCACAGCATGGTTTTAGACTAAATGTCCTCTGATATCTTCAGCCCGGAGCTGCAGCCACATCCGTGTGCACACACCGCACAAGGAGCATGTGCAATAGCTGCAGTGTTTTTTTGACTCAAACACTTCACCTACGCCTCCATTGGCATAGTGGTGAGTAGATGAGTGAATTTGAATTTTTGGGTGGACTATCCCTTTAAACTAAACTTAACCTTAACCTTAAACTTAAACTAAACCTAAAACATGGCTTCATCATTTCACAAAATCTTATGAGGTTATGGGGATCTGCTTTTTTCACAGAATTAAGACATGTCCCCATGTTAACAGATATAGTTTCCCACAACATAATTACTGCATGGACCACGCACACACACACACACGCACGCACGCACACACACACACACA